CCATGCTTGATACACGCTTAGGCGATTATGTATCTTTCGATATATTTCGAGGCAGATTTTTTCTCGATCGTAGGTTGGCATTTCTTTTTGCAGCAGAACAGTTGCCATCCAAGGCTATAGAATCCGGGCTGTCCTGCTAGTTATCCATAGCTGGAGGAAGATGAAAAGGATTCATAACTTTACCAAGTGTATTAGCACGTAAGTAATTGTAATGGTTTCGACCGTTATTCTAACTCGGCTCTCCGATTCCTCAATCAAAGCCGCTAAAAGATATTTGATTTTTTTTCGCTTTTTTGTTTTGCTCGAAATATTTGGGGAAATAATTTTTCTTGAGAAGGGAAACCATCAAAAGTACGATATGCTTAAACAGTTTTGAATTTACTGAAATAGGTACAGTTGAATATTAAATAAACGGACTGGGACGCTTATTCTTTTCTTTTTTTTTTTTGTATGGAGAGAAATACATTAGCGGCGTCTTTAGTCCATGCTGAAATTTTTGGGTACACTGGTGTACTAGTGAGCCAGCCAAAATGAGTTAACCCATTTTATAGTTCACCAATAAAAGGGTTAACCAATCAGAAGGCTCAAAATATTCAATGCGACGTGTATAAAGGCGGCCATGTTTCTTTTTTTTTTCGTATATTCACTGGCAGCCTTTCATATCGAAGACTGAAGAATTACAGAACAGCTGCTGGTGGTATTGGCGATATAGTCAGATCCAGTAGAGTGTCTGACTCGTGAGTATTAATCTTTAACGTTGTTTCATTGAACAGATTACGTACTGCGCTGTATTCTATATTCATAGACTATGGTGAACATGGTTAACAGTAAAAACACCCTTCCGTTCTGGGCATGATGATGAACTACATCCGACAGCAAGACCTCGGGAGGTTTTGTGTAATACAAATTAGTTGCAATACATTTCTGTAAGGAAAAAATATTACTAGTAATACATTTTTGTAACCAAAAAAAATGTAGCATTACATTTACAAAAAAATTACCAGCAATACATTCTTTTGTAAAATAAATTACTAATGCTCCCAAGAAAAATAAATTTCGACATTAAATGACCCAAAAGGTGTTGATATGCCGTAAAACAAACCAAACCAAATCAAACCAAACAACCTTTTTATTAAGTATTTAAGAAATCTCCCCCTACTTTTTATTCAGGCTGTGAGCGTTTTAGTACAAGATATTTCAATACTGAATATTATGAAATATATATATTTTTAAAATTCTAGCCAATTCTTTTTAATCCATTGAAAATCGATTATACATAATCAAGATTCATTTTATTTATTTTACTAGTAGTAGAGCCTGGCGTTGCCGGGGATGTAACAAAGAGATAGATCAAGTATCGACCATCATAAAGACTGAAAAATAAAATTAACAAAGATTATTGTTTAAGGTTGACGGACACGCATGTCTTAATTAGTTTTTTGTTTGTTTGTTGTTTTTTTTTTGTTTTTTTACGAATTGGTCAAACCCAAACTCAAACAAAAACATTGTTTTCAATTGTTATGAGTCTACTGATTGAATAGAATTTTATTATAAATAATTGTCTTGTAAATGAAATTTTAAAAGCATTCTGAATAAAAACAAAGAAAAAGTGTGCAAGACAATAAGAAACAGTACCTACCAAAAAAGTGATTTTTGTTGAAATCGGTTGAAAAATGTAGGAAATCCGATCCCATATATAAATGAACACACACACACACACACAACATGGGTTTTATAATAAGTATAACTCGATATGAGTTGTCCCCCTTTCATTCTCGTGATGCCTCTTAATCGTGTTTTCAAATTGATTTCGTGCAAAAACAATTGTGTTTTTTCCAATTTGGGGCGCTGTCAGAACCACCGCAAGGTAATTTTATGTAGTCCTGTGAAGTTTTGTTGAAATCGGTTAAAAAATGTAGGAAATCCGATCCAATATATAAACACACACACACACACACACACAACCTGGGTTTTATAATAAGTATGATTATTGGCAACGCTATGATAGATTCTGTCTTTATTTCTGAGATTTGGTATTATTTATACTATTTACATTATTCGGACTATTGTATGAATGTATTGTGTGGATTTCTGGTCATTAAAAACCTAATGTCTCGAGGAACCATTTTTAACAGTGTTCATATTGCAATTTTGCGGTTATCACGTTTTTACCAGAGCTCATATTGCAATTTTTTGTTGTTATTATCGCTTTTCTCTGGCACTCCTTATTACTGGTTCCTATATTGTATTAATTTCTATGCTTGGTTGGCTCATAAGATTTTTTGTGGACTAGCATATGTGCTGATTCCTTACGTTTACGAATTTTTCAATGATGTTCTTTGTCTATGATCTCAACCTGATCCCATGACATTAGTTTTATAAAGCCCAGGCACCATACACGGATATCCTCAAGGACACATGGCACAGTGGATAAAAGCTTTAGTTAGATCCAGTGACGGGACCCAAAGATTGTGAGTTCACGGGACCCAAAGATTGTGAGTTCAATACCTGGTTGAGGCGGTGGAGAACTTGGAGAGGGAATTAACAGGAGATAACTGATAGCTGACATCCATTAGACATGGCACGTGGAACTAGAATAGTCAACCCGGTTCAGTTGGCCATTGCAACTTCCTGAACAAGGCCGAAGCGTACAAAGGGCCAAAACGTTGTAATAAATATGGCGACAAAGATGAGGACAATAGTCCAAATAATTTAAATACTGTGATAGATTGTAATGGTAATATCAACCGTTTCCTACAAGGAAACATGCGCTATTCAGTGACCAAGCAGACAGTTCTGCTTTCGGTTGAGATTTATGAAAGCCTTTCTCTTAAAACAATGTTTTCAGGAAAATAGTGTTTTAAAGTCCGGTAATTGTTATCATTCTTTCCGGTATTAATGGACTTTTACCATCCCATGAATTTATTTGAAGTAATGTTGAATTTCAACATCTTGATTATGTCATTATGTTTCTCTTCGATTTACATGTACTTCTCCTTTTATTGTTACAGTTGTTCGTAGCCTTCATCAGACGATGTGATTTCTTTATTTGGCCCAATCCTTTTGGAGGGACACTGTAGCGCCAGTACGCAATTTTCAAAAAAAAAATAATCAATGTCAAAATTCACAGATTTTATTCGCTCAAAGTCATTTTTAAGAGTTGATCTTAGAAAGTGGCTGTATACAACTGACAGTCTAGTTATTTCTGAAAGGGTTTGGCCTCCTGCATGACATCGATATTGTTTTGGAGTAAATAGGATATCCTCGCTGAATATTTGAACTATAAATAACTCCACGTCAGAAGTAAGGAAAAGAAATAAGCCGTTTGGAGTCTGTCTTCAGACTAATTAATACGGGCATTCTGCGAATTAGCCGAATCATTACTTCTATTATAAGCGCTACAAAGCGTGTTAGGGATTCGGAACTCTGGCGATTTATAACCGTAGAGACGAGGATTCTCAACGCTTACGACTTATAACAATAACGAGTATTCAGAAACTCATGAGAGTTGTAAATGGAGTCACAATGATTTTGGAAACTTATACTGAGTGCACTGGTACAAAAAATATACCTGTTCGGTAACAAGGATACCAGTGATGACAAGAATTTAACCAC